CCATAAATGCAGACAGTAACTGTTTTGGACATTTTAACTTAATGGCAATAACAAAAACTACAGGAAGATAAGTAACCGTTTACCCCATTGTATCGCATGGATCCCCTGGCAATTAAAAAAAAAAAAAAGATGAATGAGATATTAAGAAATAAAAAGGAAAACAGAGTAAAGACGAAACAAAAATAGAGAAAGAAGGAAACCCAAGAGAAAAGAAAATGGCTATAAGCACTAAATGGTAGCATTTTATCATTATTTTATTTATAGTCTACACTAGCTGGGTGCTCTTCCATACACAAGATGCATCTAAAACCCAACTTGTTTGATAAATGGGGGGAGGACAAGGTGCCTCTAAGATAGGTGTGCTTAAATCCAGAGCAGCCATAGCTTTTATCAAATTCTCTTCCAACCTGAAGAATCTAACGATTCTATGAAATCACTTCAATTTGTGAAAGCCCAAGCAAAAGAAATTCAAAGTTATTTCAAAAAAAAAAAAAAAAAGAAAATGTAACTTTGACTCAGGTCAGTCAAGTATTACCAGGATAGATAAAAGCAGATTTGCAGCAATAGTTAACAATTCATTGCCTCAGGTTTTGCCACAATAAGAGCAAACATCCATATATTGGAAAGGAATCAGATGGTAAATTAAAAAAAGACTGTTTTCAATCCTTGTATTTGGCATCACATAGATTCACTGTATTTTAATTCTTTTTTTTTTTTTTTTTTTTTAAGAAAAGCATGGATCAGTTAAGGAAACAATGTAAGTTCATTCTGATCTTTAGGAAGACATTCTTCTCACCGTATTGTTGACTTTGACAATTTCTCTTTTTTCTTATTTGGCCAAAATACAATGCATTCTCTAAACAAAAGATAGATGCAAAATGTTTCCTTTGCAGCTTTTATACAAATCTCTTGCTTTTCCAACAGGATTTGGCAACTCAAAATCTAAAGCACCATAGAAAATATTATGTTTACGAGTCTTATTATTCATCCTTGTGTCTCCAATATAGTTTCAATTTGACTATACCTTTCAGTGTATAGGGAACCACTCAGCTTGAATCTTTTAGGTTCAAAATTCCATAAATTTTAAATGAGGCAAGTAAAAGGAGGTGGAGAACATCATAACTCCATTTCTTATGGCTTTAACAATAAAAGCACATACCTGGTATGTACTTAAAAATGTACTATGTGCCACAAAGCTCCTCAACTCAACAATCTCCCTCCTGACCAGTCTACTCTCAAAATAAAGTCAGCTACTCCTCACCTCTCTACTTCCACTTCCTTCCATTTCACAAATGCATTGTCAATTTCCTCTGTATTTCAGAGACCAGTTTATCAGCACAGCATAGTCTTGAACAAAATTATTGTGAGTGAAGATAGGGTAATTAAAAAAAAAAAATCATGTTAAGAACTGTAATAGTCAAGAGTTGTAACTTTTCAACCAGGAAGAGCTACGGTTCTGAATTTGCTACAACTGCTCCTTGAAGTGGACAAACATAATTAGCCTTGGGAACACTCAGATTAAGACCATGACAAGCTATTTTAATGAATTATATCAAGAAACATAGCTGCTTTCACTGCCTCAAATAACACTGCAGTGTAAGTACAACAGCTAGCATTGGAGGGAAAAGAGCCTGTGCGGCAGCCCTTGGTGACTACACTTCCCTCCAGTGCAATGCAGGCAGCAGGACATCAGCGCTTTGAGTCCTAGCATAAACTGCTGCAGAATCATCGACTGGCAACAATGTGCCTTCCCAGAGAGCCTGGTCTTGCAGAATCCAGGCTATGAGGCTTGGAAATGCTGCATGAATTTTGTGGCTACCAGGTTGGGAGCAAGGTTTTTTTAACGGCTTCCTGAAAATCAGATGGCAACTGGTTTTCTCTTCAAACAATGGTATATTCTTAAAGAAAATCAAATTATCAATGAAATTAGCCATGTGCCCGCAGGCAAGTTAACTACTCTTGCATTTCTCAGACTAGGTTTCCTTATCTCTAAACTACAGAAAATGATACCTAGATGTCACAGGGGAATTGGAAGGATTAAAAGACAAAATGTGTGTAAAGCTTCCAGCACAACGTCTGGCACAAAACAGTTGCCCTAAAAAGTTCAATACTCTTCCTTTCCCTGCTCCCCCTCCCAATAAAACAGGAAAAGGCAAGAGGCAAGTAACTAAACAACTTCTTAATATTCCAAGTTTTTACCCAATCATCTCTTCTTCTTTTAAAACCATGGGCTTGAAATCTTTACTGTTCACTGTCAACAACAGCATATACTGCTGTATAGTCAGAATTTTAAAATTTAGAAATCAAATCTAACCCCTTATTCAACAGATGCTGCCGGGGAAAGAAAAGGGCTTTCCTTTTATCTGTATCATCTTGATTTAGTAGCAGAACTTAAAGTCGAAAAATAAACGTGGAAGAACAAAACAGGAATACTATTTTTTAAATATGTTTTTCAAAAATCAAACCTGAGCCTACACGACCCATTGTGCAAACAGTCCCTTTAGGAGAAAAACTGCAACTGTGATTAATTTCTCTTGAGAATATTTCTTACTTCCCATTTGGAGAGTTTCACATGTTTCCAAACATATTTTCTTGATGTCCTCCATGTTATTGCGTACTCTCTCCTTCCCTTAATTTGTTTCTTTTCCAGTGTATAAATCTATTACTCTATTATAGATTATTATAATATAAACTCATAAATTCAGGAATTTAAAAAAAATCTTGAAAAGCATGCTTTTCAGAAACCATTACAATCTGTTAAACAGTTGCTCTCTCTCAACTTCTAGAAAGATCCCTCAAGAGAGAAGTCCCTTTTTCATTCTGAACTTCTAATTCTCAAATTTTGATTATGTCCTGCTAGTTACCAAAAACTCCATTATACTGCTACTCTCATTTCAATATTGTACATAAACAATTTCCCATCTTACTAATGAAATGCTTTTTGAATGCAGTAACATATTTAACATGTGCACGTTATGAAGAGTATAGGCAAACTCAAACTATTAAAAACATGTAACTATTAGGAAAGCCATCTTAGTCACTATATGTGACTACAGCTAAGCTTTTCTCTTAAGTATCTAAAGCAAATCACCAGACTTTTACCTAGTACCCTCATATAGCTAGATAAGAAAGTAAAAGTAAAATAATCAAAGCAGACTACTTCTAACAGCAGAAGCTCCAAACTCCTTAGTTTCTCTGTTGTGCTCAATCCTTTAGCAAATTACAGGCTTGAAAACAAGGAGTAGCTCTATCACTTAACAAGTGACTAAGAAATGACTTTGTTAATTAGAAGTCCAAGGGTGAGAGGCTCCTTTCTACCAAAGCTCTGAATAAACACCAACATCAGGTCAACCAGAGCTGTCTTGGTCCCAGGAGTAGCTTAAGCTGATGACTCAAATTCCCAGCAGGATTCTAGTTTAATATTTATTGAAACTCTGAGCTTAGTCACACAGTGACTTGGAATTTAAGGCACATGGGGTCTCTTCTTTCCATCCTTAAAGATATTTTTGCTAAGTGACACAAAGTTAAAGAGGCAAGATGGGTTTTAATTTAGAGTTTTTATTCCCTGAGGTGTAAAAAGTTAAAATTTTATTTTCTGGGGAGAGTGAACCATACTAGCTCTGAATTTCAAACACAACTATTAACCCTGTCAAATAATTCTATTATCAAGTTTTACAAAATTGTTTATTTTTATTCTTATTTTTATTTTTTACCCAAGCCCTATGTATTGAAAGTGGACAGAAGGAAGGGAGGGAAGGAGAGAAGGAGAGGGGGAGAATGGATGAATGGATGGATGTCACAATCACCTTTCTAGCCAAAGTTGCAACATAGGCTGGAGTTCTTGAAATTATTTCAACCAAAAAAAGGATCATATGACTCATAATTTGTTTAGCAGGTATTCACCCCATTATCTTCAAGAAAAATCTATCTTAAAATTGTGTATAGCTTTTTTAAAAATCTTAATACTAAGAGGATCCTTTTTTTCATAACCCCAAAGAGTGGTTTTTTCCCTCTATTTTCGAGTTGCCAGCCTCAATTCTTTAAATCTGATTCACATTATACTACTTTCAGAGTTCTAGGCTAAATGTTTATCCCTAGCATGATTCAAAGTATTAATTTCAACAAAATCCTAATATAATGATAAAATGTATCACATTTATTTTCAACTCTTTCCTATTCTTCTGTTTTAAGAACTTAAGGAAAACTATTTTATGTTTCAGGTACATTTTGATAAGCTAAAATACCACAAATTTTGTAATGCTTCATTTGTAATATTTGCAAGATAGTGTAGGGATCAATTTGAATTTCAAGGTTCATGATATAGAGTATATACCAGAACAGTGAGAAAAGTTAGTATAAATTCCTACTCATCTCAGTTTGTATATTTATTGCAACAAATTAAAACTGCATTTCACAACTCGTAGTAAAACAAAAGGAAAGTTCTGTTCTAAATAAACTCCAATCTTCAGAATCCTATACATTCAGTATCCATCAACCTGAACACTAAATTTCAAGAAAAAACAACAGATGGGCATCCATATGATAGTTTGCAAAGAAACCCTGATAAGACTTCAGGAATTTCTGTGGTCTCTATTTTCCCCCTACCATGAATCATAGGTAATGTGCTTAAATAAAGCATTCCTTCTGCAGTTATTTACATTGTTTATCAAAGATCCTATAAAAGAATTATCCAGTTCACCACACAAACTTTAGCACTCAGAACACTGTTTTCCCTGTTGATGAAGACCCTCGGAAAATTCCAGATCTTAAAAGATTAAAGAAAATGTGATCTAACATTAATTCATTTTCCTCCAAACAAAGTATAACTCCTGATTCCATGCTGGTACCCAGTTTTGACCCTCTACTTTAGAGATATCTCAGAGACATTCAAAACAAAGTGGGAACATGCACAAATGGGGAACTTGTCATTTTTCACCCTCAAACAACCACTATTTATATAATATTGCTGGCCTCATAAAAGGGAATAGAGAATCCATTACCATCAGCAATTCATGCCTCTGCTTCAGCATCAGATGCAAACAGGATACGGAAACTAGATCTCTCTCCTCCATTTACTTTTTGTTCATTCCAACCTCTCGACATAATCTTTAGTTCCATTCCAATGGCCTGTTTCATCATCTGACATTCCTGGTTTTTTACCTTCTCAAGTCTTAGCAACCATACTGGTGTTACATTTCTCTAATTGTTGTGTTATCTAAATATTATAGGAGGAGCTTGCTCATTCCCCCTCCCCCAAAAGTCCCTGAAAAAACAACAACTTAAGGAAATGCAACTTGAATCTTTTTAGTTCACAGATTCAAACTCATACATCCTGCGAGCCCCCTACCCTATCTTGCTGAAATTTTTCTTTTGACTTTTCAATAGTTGTCAAGATTATTTTAATGAAAATATTTCTCCAGTTGGAAGACATGGGTATACAGGACTTTGCTAGAACGACAAATGCTTTTTCCCAGTCTTCATCCGTGTAACAGTAAATCATTATTAAACAAACACACAAAATAAAACTCACTCTGATTGTGTATCAGTCACCTGAAGGGGCAGAAAAGTACAAGAGTGAAGAAACTTCACCCCAACCACAGCCAAGAAGGAAAGTTGCAATCAAGGCACTTTTCACAGAAGAAAATATCCAAAGATGTAGACGCTGTTTATTTTAGAAAAGGGGAAGAAAGCAAGGGAGGGAGGGAAAGGGTAGGGAAGAGACTAGAACTCCTCTTCTCTTACTAACCTACATTAAAAACTAATTGTAGCAAGCAATCTCAAACGCAAAACTGACCCTATCACAATTTAAAGTGAATAATGCTTTCCTCGACAAAAATTCGATATTTTAAACTCATTCTGAGCAAAATTATCTTTTAACCTGATACACCAAACTATTAGTTTTTCCCAAACAACAGTTAGAACATGAGCTTTTAAGTTTCTTAAATTCTTTATGTTTTAAAATGAAAAGCCAAATTCCTTTAACTTCATATATCCTAAGTCACTCTGATTTAAAATTACTTCTATGTCATTGTCTTCTAGCACTGGTCTGCAATAGAATCTGTGCAATTAACAATAATCATCTTCCCTCTGATCTTTCTAGAGTCAAGGATGGCATACCTCCTTATCTTATTTGTTCCATTAGATTGGCATATTTTGCCTCATCTGTCACCTTCTATCAAACTCTGCTTTCAGATATGCGTTAATTCATTTTTAGTTGTCCTCAATGTTCTAAAATAGTGATGTTTGACAGAATTAATACCGTGCTCTAGTTCTTTCTGTTCAACTGGTATTTAATTAAAGATCTTGGAGGCTATCTTTCTCTCAGGCTATACCACTTAAAGGAGGAACATTACTTCCTCCATGGACAATGTGATAAGCCACATGGCAACAAAGCTGCCTCCCTAACTCTCTCATTTAATAGACTGCTTTACCACATATAAACTACCAGCAAAACAGATTATCACTTTAATTCACATTGATTTTACTTTTCATATCTCTGAACCACAACTCTGCCATGGGCTGCGTTCTCTCAACTTCTGAATTTCCCGAATTTCTGTAGTTGTAATGCTCTCCTATCTTTTTGCTTTTGTTTCATCTGGACTTCCAAAAGTTCTAATGGCATCTGATTTGGAAGAGTTCTTGAATCTCTGAAAACAACGAAGAAGTCTTTAAGCAATCAGAACTGCCTTGGCGCACACACTGAAAACTCCGTTTCAAAATCTTTTGAATTAATACCTTTTGGAGAATAGCCCACTCAACTTGATATGTCATAATTTTCCATTCTAAAGGTGGCATGGATAATTTAAATTGGCACTTGCTATTTATTACTTAAATAATTGTTCTCTTGGATGACCTTTTGAAAGCTAGCACTTCTTCATCATTTTCGACTGTATCAGAACTATAACAGACATGTCAATTTAAGCAAACTTCATGAGCAATAAACTAACAAACAGACTCTAGGTGGTGGTATAGGTTATTTTTTATCATGATGTTTTGCACTTACAACTGCAAGAGTCAGAAAAGCTTTTAGTCTCTTCACACATTTCTTTAGTGCAAAGTTAACAACATTTTAGGCTGTTAAAATTAGCCAAATCCAAGTTCTACAGAGTTTGCAAATGCATGTAAAACAGGCATTAAACCTGGTTTTCAACTAACTTCCCACAGGCATTAAACCTGCCTTTTCACCTAACTCATTTGAATAAAATCAACAACGAACAGTCCTGTTTTTTTTGTTGTTGTTGTTGTTGTTGTTTTTTTTTTATGTTTTGATGTGTATTTTGCTCACACTCCTAGGGCACTTCCTAGGGTAAGTTTGGAAAGAGGTCTTTCTCCACTAGAGTATGACACAGACTAGAGCAACCAATCCTGTAACCTGCAGGGCAGTAGCTGTTCCACTAATGATTCTCCTCCTTTGTCTCTAGGAACTATGCCCAGGCAGAAAAAAAGTTACTATAGGTGATGAAGCCAGCGCTCCCCTGAACCAAAAAAACCCTATCGACATTACCAAACTGCTGGGCAAAAGCAGAGCAATTCACTTACTTCGAAGGTGAAAAACACTTCAACATACACCAGGCGGCAACCGACACTTAGGGGCTAAGCAGATGAAACACCATTTGTTTAAAAAGTCTATTATCTCACTGTCTCTTCCACAAAGGTGGAAAACTGATGATTAAACATTGAATAATGCCACCCACTTACTAAACCTATGATTCACTAATAAGCATTCAATGCAATTCATAACTTTAAAGAATGAATTACCGAAGCCCCTTGCTTCACAAATTTTCCCAAGAAACAGAAAGAGCATTCATCACCTATAACCCGACAACCATTTTTACTATGGACACCTACAGATAGCTTCTCTTCCTCTAAGGACACAATTTCCTTCACAATCCCACATGTAATCATTTACAATACCAGAGACAAACTCCAACTCAGTTCCACCAGCCGAATTTTTAAACATCCTTGTGCCTAAGAACGTCTTTTTTCCCCAAAGTAAAATATGCCATTAAAAAATATTTTTAAAAAGCAAAAGTGCTTATCATTCCGTACTTCTTCTACTACCTTCAGCAGCCAATTATTGACGTGATAAAAGGTAGAAACTCCTGGAATGCTTCAGAGATCAACATGTGTCACAGACTCCCAGCCCGTCCGCCTCTAAGACACAGTTGGTTCCTTTGTTCCTTCAGACTGAACACCAACTCCTGATTAAAATTGGGAAACTACTTTGGAAGGGATGTGAGGGTCTGCAGAATACGTCCACGGAAACCTTCATAAAACAATATTCAATAGTAGTAAGGTGGACACAGCAGAAGGGAGAAAGGGCAGCCTCCCGGACTTCCACCGGGCTCACGCTAAATGGGGGCCGGCCCCTGGCTCCTGGTAAAATGATGGCTGAGGCCTCGGGTCCGTGAGCCACGCCATCCGGGGGGGACGGCGAGTGCGGGGAGAGCGGGCCTGGGGTCCGTTGGGGGCCAGGCGAGCTGTCCGTTTTCCTATTCACTTTCCCAGCCGGGTATCCAGCGAGCACGGAGCAGGCAGGCACCCAGGCGAAAGGCGCCGCCCAGGATCCGGCTGGACAGCAGGATCGAGAGCGGCGCGGCGAGCGGTGCCCGGGGTTCGGGACCCAGAGGGCAGGCGAGCGAGCGGCAACCCCGACCCGGCCCCCGGAGCTCCCGTGTCCGACCCCGCGCAGGGGCCACGCGACGGCCGCCCCCTTGCCCAGAACTGGCACGGACGGGCCGGCCGACCCGGGGCCACTCCACAACTTGCCGGCCCGCCGCCCCGGCCCCCCGCGAGAACCCAGGGAGACTCGAACCAGGCAGCAGAGGCAGGATTTCCCCGGAAACGCGCCCTCCCCGCCGCCCCGTGCGCGCCCGCGGCCGGCCGCGCTGCCCGCGCTGCCCCCGCCGCCCCGACGCCCCCGCGGCCCTGCCCGCCAAGCCAGCGCCGACGCTGGCCGCGCTCCGGGGCCGTTTCCGGCGGCGCCGGCGGCCGCTACTCTGGGCGCCCTGGCCGCGGCCGTCACTCACCCCAGGCCGCCGCGGCTCCCAGCCTCCGGCTCCGTCAGGCTCGGTCCGCGAAGGCGCCTGCCGCCCCGTCCTGGCCCGGCACCCCGGCGAGCTCTTCCCTCCGACCAGCGGCGCTCCCGGCGCAGCGGCGGACGCGAGGCCACGGGCGGACGGGCGCGCGCGGGTGGCGGGCGGGCGTGGGGCCGGATCGTCCCTGCGCCTCGCCGCCGCCTCCTCCGCCGCCGCCTCCCGAGTTCGGGGCTCTGCTGCAATGTCTGCGAGGCTGACTTTGAGCGCCTCGCTCGCCGCCCGCCCGCCCGCAGCCGCGCTCCTCCCTCCGCCGCCGAGTCCGCCGCGGCCCAGTCCCTCCCCTCGCCGCCCCACGCCATTCAGCTCTTCAGCCAAGTTTCTTAACCCTTTTCTCCCCCTCCCTCCCATTGTCAGCCGGTCAGGAGGAAGTCGTGCGGGTCCGGGCCGCTCGCGGGAGCTGCGGAGCCCCCTATGGTTCGTGGATTTCCTCCTCGCCTGCTCTCCGGGTGGCTCAGACGGGGCTGCAGGGCCCGGAGGCAGCGAAAGGACCGCGTCCCCAAGAGAGGGGCTGCTCGGCGCGCCCGGGCCGTCCTCCGGGCTCCCAGCTCTGTCCAGCCGCCTGCGACCGCTGCAGGCGCCTGGACAGCTCCTTCTGGGAACCCGGGGAAGCGCTCTCGGGACCCAGGCCGAATGCTGCCGTTTGGGCAGAGCCTGGGGACCGGGGCGCCCCAGGGTCCCCGCCTGGGTGCTGGCGCCTTAAACATCTACCTCCTCCCCTTCACCCCACAACACGCGGTCCCTGGGCCCCCTTTCACCCCCCACCCAATTTCTATCTCCTTGTCATCTGTGTGTCCTGCTTTAATCTTGCGGGGCGCGGGCGCGAACTCTGGGTCACTTTGACCCCACGCCCAGCACGTAATAGGCACCCAGCCCTCATGTGGAGCGACTCCGGGAGGAAAACTAGGAAGGAGACCTGAGGAGCGCCCCGCTCAGCTCCCTGGACAGACGTAGGACCCAGGAGCAGGGTTAATCCTCGGCTGCTTTGTCACTGCGAAGTCTCCAGCGGAGTCTGTCAGCCAATCTACATCATCCCCGGGAAGGATCTGACCCAACCAGACAAGGCAAAAGGAGCAGGGCTGCTACTTCTTCAGCAGCTCTCCTCGGTTCAGTCTCCGAATAAGAAATAACAATTACATCACGAGGCCGGGGCGGCAGCGCGGTGGAGCCTCTTGGTTTCCTGCAGCCTAATCTCGCTGAACCCGCCTCTAAACTGGGGGGGCTACAGACTGGTGAAACGAGAAAGTGGAGGGAGGAGAGAGTCATACGAAACCATCATTTCCCCTTATCCGTGTATTCGCTGTTTTAAAAATCGTATCCTCAGCGCTCCCCAAACATCTCCCTAGAGCTATTAACACCCCCTCAACACCTCCCCAGATGTCAGGTTTCTTTTTGACTTGAGCATCCAGCATTTAGTAATTCGCCATGAAAAAAATTACCAGGGGAAACCAATGTTGTCGCTGAAATTGTTTTTGCTTGACACAAAAAAGCTAAAGTATAGCTTAGTCTCACCCGAAATTCTGAAATGGCATGCCTGTGTTAAAACACTTATTACATAAGACAAATGAGCCGATGAGGCACTCCATTCTTACATGTAGGTTTTCATATCCTGAAGAATTTGATAGCATTTGAAAATGGAGTGGCTAATGCGCTTAAAAAACAAAAACTATCCAAGTCATGAAACTGTATTCTATGCCTGTTATGTAATGGCTGTATTGTGTACTGCAAATTTCACTTAACCTTTAAAAATATGAATGAGAGTTTTAGAATACTATCACAGTCTTGAAAGTGAAAGCAATTTTTCAAATTAATGCTTAATAAATTCAGCACCTAGCACAGTGCCGGGCACATGGTACCGATGTTTTTCTTAGTGACAATGGCACATTTTGAAACAATTATTTTACATTACCCTACTGATTGAACTATGCAATCTGTTGCCATTTTATATAGTTAAACCTCATATAATACCATATTATTTGCATATACCACAATTCAAAATCTGCTGTAGGCAAATTAGTAAAGGCTGCTGTTTTTTAGTGCATCATTTATTCAGAATTGATACAAAGCAAACCGTTTCAATTCAATGATGACCAGCGTAATTGGAGCTTGGCCCCTTAGTGGGGGTCAAACTTTTTTTACGAAAATTATTTTTAACCATAATACAAAGATTTTTCTACAATGTATTGCAAATGTTTCTCTTAAGTGGTTTATTGAACATCATTTAGCATTTTCTTGACAATTCAGTGTCAATTTTATTAAAAGTAATTATTGTAGTAGGTTGTAGTGGATTCAGGAAATATATCCAGTTCCTATTCTATATTCTTCCTAGGTGTTAGGGATTCTCCCAGGAGGTACAAAAGCTATCAGTGGCTACACCGAGGGACTGTAGGATGCTATGACTTAGTGATTATCTCTGCCTTTTGTAATTTCTCTCTCTCCCCCTTCACTAACTGACAATCTGTTGTCCTTACTGTTACTAGCACAGCTGTCACTAACATTCTCCTCCTCTTCTGATTGGTAACTTCAAGTCTAGTGTGGACTGGGAATCCAGATAGCCTCACTTGTCACAATTCTGTCTAAAGTAAACTTAATAGGTTCTGGGTAAGGGACTAATGGCTCACCAAGGAGTAGGGCGCACACACACCTTAGTGCATAGACTCTGGAAAGATATTTGGACTACTCAAATCTATCTTTTAAATGCATTCCTCTTACTTGTTAACCAGGTTTTGAACCACGGAGATTGCCCAACAAGCCAAGAATTTTCCAGCCCTCCAACATTGGTGTTAAAAAGTCCACTGCTATATGCTAGATGACTTCCCAAAGCTGTTCACTTATTATTATTCTGTTTTCTCAACCCCACAAAAATCCAGTCACTGAAATCCTGAACTCTTTTGATAGTGGCATGAGTGTTAAGTAAATTGCACACCTCTTGTGGAATTCATTTTCACTTAATCTTGCTAATTATGTGGAGACTATTTTGTTTGTTGTTGTTCTTTGTTTTTTAAAATAAATCAATACCTAAATTTCCTGGCTAACAGAGTCCTTGCAAGGATACTAGGGCATTATATGTAATATAAGAATGCCTGTTTGGTAATTTGTACTTCGAAGTCAATTCTCATTTGAATCATTTGTGATGTGAAAACAATGCTGTTCGGTTTATATACTTAAACACCTAATTATTGTTTTACGTCCAGGGTTCCTGTGGAACCACATGCTTATAGTTCAGTCTCAGTATACCTATCTGCCACAGAGATGTAGTCTGGAAGGGGTATGCCTTTGGTGTATTCTCTAAATCCCTCCTGAATAGCATTTTTCAAAACCATTTTGTGAGTGGGTATTTGCTTGTCTGTATCCCACTGTAGAATGCAAGCAGTACAGGCACAGGGTCCATACCCCTCTCATTCACATTTGGGGACTTCTAGCTACCTATCCCTGTGCGCAGCAAGCAATAGACATTCAGTAGATATTGGCCAACATACTGTCATACCCCAGAGAACAGAAGGTATCTTTCTCTTGGGGTCCTGGCTGTGAGGTAAGGGAGTTCAGAGAACATTTTGCAGAGAAAATAATGCTTCCACTGGCCATTGAAAGGTTAAAAGGATTAGCCATGTAGGCAAAGTGGGAAACTGGGCTCTCAGTAGAGGACGTAGACTGTTTACCAGTAGAGAGGTATGAGAAAACAAAAATATGCATTGAGAAGTATTGAGCCCATATTTATACTATGGAGTGAACTATGACACCTGAGGGGGAAATATGTGTAACGTCCTAGATCACAGACAGATGGAACCCCATTGCAGTTACCTTATTAGCCACAGTCCCTTAGCCTCTGGAGCAGCACTGACCAATAAAAACAAAGTGAACCACAAATGTGAGCCACATATGGAATATTAAGTTTTCTGGTAGATACATTCAAAAAGTACAGAGGAACAGGTACAATTAATTATAATAATCCACTTTAACCCAATACATCAAAAATTACCATTTCAATGTCTATACAACATACAAAATCACTAATTAGATATTTTACAATCTTTTATAGTCTTCAAAATCCAGTGTGTCTTTTACATT